GTGTTGAGCTTCCTGTGTGCTTGTTTCTATCGATATCAACAGGATAACCTATAGATATTACTGATATTGACTGACGTCTTGCATCAGTAGCAAGCGGCATTCAAAACAGTTGAAATTCAAAGTAATTTCATTGTTCTGATTGCTCTGCTGTTATACAGGGACTGTTTTCAAGGTCAGTAATGTGCCATCTGGTAGGAAAGTAGTTTGCTGATTAGTTTACTGCTCAACAAGTATCCTTGAGACACATATTTATGTGAAGAAGTTTTGTGCAGAAGGAATATGTAAAATTTAGTGGGTCCAAAAGCAACTAGCTAGCACTTTGTGCAGAAGTGTGAAGGGCTATGTTCAATAACTTGACATACCTGTTGGGAAGCCAGGGTGCTTAAAAACATTTATTGAAGCTGAACTGGTACCCCACATACCGTATTGATAAGTAAGTAAGTAAGTAAATTTTTATTTATACCTGGCCAAGACTGGGCTCAGGGCAGCTAACATCAAATATCAAATACATTAAAACACAATCAAACAATTGATTAAAATACAGCTTAAAAATTAGAATCAGGATAAAATTAAATGACTGCCCATGAATTACAACCATAGGGGTCAGGAACCTCAAGTATTCATCAGGGCCAGCTATCCATGTTGGTCCCACATGAGCCAATAAAAGGACCCAAGAGGTAACTTGCAGGGTCCCATAGAGGGGGGTCAAACTGGGCCCAGACCGAAGGCCAGGCAGAACAGCTCCATCTTGCAGGCCCTGCGGAAGAATGTCAAGTCCTGCAGGGCCCTGGTCTCCTGCGATAGGGCGTTCCACCAGGCTGGGGCCAAAGCCGAAAAGGCCTTGGCCCTGGTTGAGGCCCGGGACTGCCAAGATATTATGATTTGCGGACCGTAAGGTCCTCCGCGGGGCATACCAGGAGAGGCGGTCCTGTAGCATATGTTATGTTATTGATAACAATAACATAAATGGAACTGCCTTTTCAAGCAGTGGGATTTTTTTCTTCAGTGTATCATAGCTGGCAGATTTGCAGGGGAAATGATGTAGGTTTAGCGGGGGGGGGGGGGACGACGACGACGACTTATGAACATTGAGAAACGTCCGAGGAATGTGTACACTGGCTTTTAAAAGCAAACATTCCACCAATATTTCCTTCCAAATGTAAGCATACAGTACATTTCAAATTTCTTTTTTAAAAAATCAAAAAATCTATATACATAACCCTGGGGCTCAAAAGCTTACCACCAGCCAAGTTCAAGGTTCTTGTATTAATTCACAAGCCTTCACAAGACTCCCTGATCCCTGAGGTCTTCAAAGTTGCCACTTTTGTGGTCGCCCATGGCTTGAATTCACAAGGAGCTGCATGTTCAGTATGGAGGGCTCAATTTTTTGAAACTGAGATCACTCAGGCCCCCAGTGTTGAACTTCCAGTGCTTACTGAAGACTTAAAAAAACATTCCAGCAGGCTTTTAAATTGAATTCTGATTTCATACTTTTAACTCATTTCAGTCTCATTGAGTTGCATTGAGACTCCTGTACAACCAGCTGTGATTGAGTGGTATACTGATTGTTGAAATAAATATTCAGTGAAAAGTATCTGCAGGTAGAAAGAGACATCCCTCTCTTAAACTCCCCATGTATTTCATTGTTTCACATATTTTGGGGGTACAGATGTCTCCCATCACCACCCCTATCCCTGACTGTACAATGGTATCTCAGGTTAAGAGCTTAATTCGTTCTGGAGGTCCGTTCTTAACCTGAAACTGTTCTTAACCTGAGGTACCACTTTAGCTAATGGGGCCTCCTGCTACCGTTGCACCGCTGCTGCACGATTTCTGTTCTCATCCTGAAGCAAAGGTCTTAACCCGAGGTTCTATTTCTGGGTTAGCAGAGTCTGAAACCTGAAGGGTCTGTGACCCGAGGTACCACTGTACAAGATATCAGTTCTAGGAATCTTCATTTGAAGGAGGACACAAACTGTTGTACAAGAACAGGTTAAAGTGTGCACAAAAGCAATTTAAGCATTGCTCATCGCTCAAGACATTTTCTTTGATTATGTGAAATGGGCCTCTAGTTTTTAACTTGCCACTTGATAGCGCAGATGTGTGACATTCTGGCTGGTGGCTACTGCTGGAATTGTATCAAGCCCCAGTGTAGGTTGGACCTGAAACAGGGAGAAGGAATATGGGCAGAAGAGAAAGTAAAACCTGCTGTATAAAGTTGGTAAGAGGTTTCTGGAAGGTGAAAGCAGCTTCTGAATTATAGGGAACGGCACACTGATGGTGCCTGGGGACTAGTAATGCCTCCATGGAGTTTTCCTCCCTTCTGACCAACCTCCAGACATAAATCTCCAGTACTCTCTCATTTTACAGGGAAACTTAACTCAGTAGAGAGCTGTTCACTTTGCTACAGTTCAGGGACAGAGGGAGCAGAAAGCAGTTTTTCCTGCATCAATATCCTTACAAGCCCCTAAATGCAAGTAATCCGTATTGCTTTCAGTGCTCCACAACTGTGTATAGGCCTCCAGTTTAAGCAGAAGGATTAGCTTTTAGTTATCCTTCTGTAATGTAGTAAGACAAAGTAGTAATTTGAACCACAAAGCTGAAAAAATGAGGATGTAAGAAACCTCCCTGAGAACTTTTGCTAGCCTTGTGAACACTCTTTTTCTTTTCTGTTTTGTAGCTTCTTTTGAAATTCTTCAGCTGTAATACCTAATGAGGGAATGACAAACCCTGGCCTAAAGCTTTGAATTTTGCTTTAGGCCAGATCTGGTGACAGCTTAGAGATGTTCCAAGCACCCTAAGAAACTTCACTAGTCTTACTAAAATGGTTCTGACTTCCTTTGAAATTCATACAGTGTTTCACCTGAGGAGGAACTTGAGCATTTATTTCAAACTTTCCCTTGGCTGACATTTCAGCAGCAGCACTAGAAATATACAAGGTGACATTTTTCTTTAATCTACGAATACATAAAGCAGCTCCCGCAATCCTATCTCCAGCAACTCACACAGAATCTCTCATTTGGATCCAGACTTATTTCTGAGTAGACATGGTTAGGATTGTGCTCTAAGTCCTATTGAATTCAATGCAGCTTCATCGCTTAGAGTAGACCCACTGAAATCAATGGGACTTCATAAAAGGGCCAGGAAGGCTGAAAGCAATATGTGAACCAAAACACATTCCTACTTAGTAATGACTGACTTAAGACCCATTGATTGCATGACTAATACTTGAATAACTGTTGGACAAACAGCAGAAGGAAATAAGTGTTTGAGCTTAGTCTAGTGCTGGAAAACAGCCCTGAGCATCTGGTAAGGGCATATGCAGTGTGTGATGCACAAATTCTTTTGCAATAGATTACGTATTACCAATAGATCTATAAGTACCATTGTGTATATTTTTGCTCATGCACTCACTGGATGTTTAAGCGATAAATAATTAAAGCATTATTGAGGCTTCCGGTTCCGCTCTGCTTTAATGGAGGCAGCCCCTGCGACAGTGGGAAATCATTGGCGAAGGAAAAACAAGGATGATTTAGGGGCTAATTTAGGGGTAATCATCCTTGCATAATCCCCCCCCCCTTCGGGACAGAGGGGAAAGGGCTTCAGAGGGGAAAGGGCTTCATTCACAGTCCGCCTCGGTACCTGGGCTCTCACTCCAGCATGGAATGTGGGGGGCAAGGAGGTGTTGAGTGCAAAAGCACTTCACCTGGTGAAAACCCTCCAACGCCACCGCCATTAAGAAGGAGAGGCTCTCCTTTTAATTAGAGCTTAGTTGGACTAAAGTACATGTGTGTGCTAGAAGAGATGAGATCACAAACAGCAGAACAAACCAACTGCAAGGACTTTAAGGTTTTAACTTAAGAAGACTTCAAAAGACTTCAGTTCAAAAGACGGTGAACCACCCTGAGACCTCTGGGTATAGGGCAGTATATAAATTCTAACAACAACAACAATGGTGGGGGAGGGGTGCCTACCTAGAGGGGAACATTATTCTTCATTCATGAGAAAAGATGTATGTTAAAGAAGTTTGCATTTGGCATATAATTTAGAAGTTACTTTTTATGGTCTTGATGCATTTTGACCTGTAAAATGTGTGAAACTTTATTTCACCTTTTTTTCCTTTTGCTCTCATTTCAGGAACTAGAATTTCAAGATTTGACAGCAGTTTTAAACTGTATTCACTCATTTATAGCTGCTAAGGTTGCCTCTGTGGATCCATTATTTATTGACAGCCAGAGCATTGCAAGAAAATATACCTACAGTAATTGAAGAGATTCTATGTTGTGATTATGACAGATAAATTATTTTCTTAAAGAAAAAAATATTTCATGCACAATATTGCGATCCCATGTGATTTTATAAGAGATATATAGTTGTGTTATGAATAAAGGTTACTAGTTTTCACATTTGATTCATCATTGTTAAATCTGATGAGTTAAACATTTATTCAAACTGAATCAGTTTGTTGCCTTGCACTTAAATGAATATTTTCACACTATGATGAATTGTAAGTCTTATTTTAAATCTTATTCTCAAGCATTACATATTACAAAATTAAATAGTAATATCAGGGGACCAGAATATTCCAAAAGGCTGAAACTGCACTTGTAGACTAAGGTTGTAGTTTAACCTACCATTTTCATCTACAGCCTGGTTTATAATTAACTCGAATGATTATGCTAACTGATTTGAAATTCAAGATTCACTTGAAAAAAACAGACCTGTCTTATTTCTTCACTAAAAAAAAAGCCTATTTATTTTTCAACATCAATACTGTTTATTATTCTGAAAAGCAAGATTCTACAGTACTCTATCACTCCACATGTATATGTTGGGCCTTGTCTATTTAAAATGCTGGCAGAGTGGACAGGTATCTGTTTTTCATTTAATTTAGTTTTCACTTATTCGGTTTTCCATACAATTTGAATAAATAGGTCTGTTTGCGGGGGGGACGGGACACTCTTGGTCATATCCCATATTTGTCATCTTGGATTATCATGTTACCTATGAAAGCAAAGACATAAGATTGCATTCAAGGTAAGTGCCATTTTAAAACTCATTCATACTATTTACATTGGTTTCTTCAAGCAATTCAACGACCTTAACTGATAGTCTAGTGCAAAGTTTCCAAACTAGTCTCACTTTGAAGCCAGCTGACACCAAGACAACACCGGCTCTACCATTAGGTAGAATGAGACAGCCGCCTCGGGCAGCAGGTACTGGAAGGTGAGAGTCTGTGTCCCATGCAGCCTGCCTTCCTCCTCCTCCTCCTCACCTGTTCCCCAGAGATGGTGGGAGACAGTGTCAAGTTGTCAGTGTTGCAGTGAAATTTTAAGAGTACATGGAATGGGTTGGGAGTGGAGGTGTCATATTCTCTTTCACCTCATGCCACAAAATGTCTTGGGCAAGTCCTGCACCCTAAATATGCTGCTATTATTACTGACATTATGTTAACCCTACATAAATCCAGAGTGGAGTCCCTAAGATGGTTGCATGATGCCTTGTACACCTCCTTCCAACAACTCCTGCAGCCAAGCTGGTGCCAAATATATTTATCTGCTTTCCTTTGGACCCCATCAGTGAGGCCAAGTGGGGAGTCATGATGTCTGGGTAGCCCAGGACTTCCATACACACTGTCCATGCTTGCGCCCTGGGAAGGTCACTTCACTGCTGTTAATGCAGCAGTTTGACTTTACCCTGAAGTCGCACTCCATTGTTGCTTGAGTCATATGGATGCCAGCAACAACAATATGAACTCTAGTGCTCTCACAGTGCAACCTATTTAGAAATAAGTTCAGTGGGACTTTTTCAGCAGGAACTCACTGGAACTTAGTTCCAGCACCTCTCAGGTAGGCGCCATTGCCATTATAAGAGAGTAAGGGTGAGTTCCAGCACCTCTTTTTCTAGAAAAATAGCACTGGTCCCAAGTACATCTGTATAGTATTGCAGATTTAAAGTCATATGACTATCCAGTGACGCAGCCATAGTTCAATAAAAACTGAATCAGATTTGACATTTTACCAAGATTATAAGCATGCTTCACAAAACCAATTCAACTCTAGAAAACTTTTAAGATACATTACTGCTAAGTACTGTTTCAGGATATAAGGCTCAAAACTTTCCAAAACTGATCCTAAAGGAAAACTATGTATGCAGTCAGAACATTCTTCATCACTTTCATCGCGGCAGCTCCCACTACTAAAAAAGGCAAGAGGTTATGCAGCTTAAAAATGACTTGTTTCTGTCAGTGGGCAACTGCTGTAATTATTACATCTACAAGAAATACTTCATGTGTGAATTTTCCTCCTGCATACATATTACATACTTAACATTGATATAGCACTTTTCATGCCCATATACATTATTGAAGTTCAATGCATACATGTCCTAAACCCCAAATTAAAAAGGGAGCACCTTTGAAATAGTGCATTGAAAAGAATAAGGACATAATTCCACCTCTAGATGAACATGACTGGCTGTGTCAATGTGGATGGGGACAGACATTCAGATGCACTCCCAAGAGAAATTAAAAGGGCCGCTCTATATCCACTTTGAAGTAATGGGGTTTTAAGCCCACGGTTTCTGATCCAGCAAGTGATAGGCACACAGAAACCTATGTGCACATCTCTTGATGTAGTTCATGGAAAGTGACCTATGTTTTGTAGATAATAGCAGTGATCCAGTATTGAATGTTCATTTGGAAGCAAGAAATATGTTGTGCTAGAATGCAGCATAGTTTTGTTTATTGCAAGTAAGTATTGGTGATATATTTTAAACAAATATTTTACTCTTATATTTATATTTTTCACAAACATACGAGTCTATTTTTAAAATATATGAAAATGCCCTAAGTAATTTTTATCTTTATATTTATTGAGTATAACATTAATAAGGCAAATTAGTGGCAGGTTTAAGCTGGCGGGTATGTGGAAATATTCTGAAATATAATGGGGCAGGCAATTTAAGCAAAGGGAAGTCTGAAGATAAAACTGACTATAGGAAGTGAGTATCATACCTCTCAAGCCGTGGCCTAGTTATGCTTCAGATGTGATAATTCCACATCTATAATGGGGCAATTTATTTATTAGGCCAACTAAAATAACACAAAATGAGAGGGCAAGCTTCTAGATTCCCCAGAACTACCATCCACACACATGCCTCAGCTGATGCAAGCACCTTAATTCTTGTCATGAGAAACTCTGTCACAGATCTCCTATTGGCATAATGGGGTCATTGGATTGGGCTCTGGCTCCAACTAGGTCACAAGGAGGCAGGAAGAAAATCTTTTTGGGAAAGTGGGCGGTTCCCAATCAGTTTTGCCGACTTGCCAAGTTCCGTCATCTGAGTCACAAACTGTAAAGGAAAAGAAAGGTGCCCACTTTCCCCCAATATATCTAATGGGAACCAATTGCCAACGGGGCATAAAAACATGTGTCAATATTAGAGGCAAATTGTAGTCCATATAAAGGAACAGCTCTAGTGACCCCATGATGCCCTCAGAAATCTACAGTACTGGTGAGTACGAATCGTAGTGTACTACTGGCATCATGGGATCTCTAGATTGGGACATATCAGAGCTCACCAATTAGGGCAGGTCCCAACTGCAACCTAAGATCTACACTTCAGGTATTTGCCAATCATACTATCTTCAAAGAGCATTCATGATATGGTCAATGCCATTTTGCAGCAGAGGGGCTCCAAGATGGCCCTGCTCATTAGTGATAGCTGCAAGGATGGGGCAAAATATTGAGGGACCATCACACCTAATTCACCTGTAATATTAATCAAAACACCCCTGTTCCTCACCTATACTGCTTAACACTTACAATTCCTATGAGAGGCTTCATTCACAGTCCCAGTCTGCTACAAGGGAGTTGAAGCAGTGCTCCTACAACAAGAGTACCAATGACCCATGCAGAGTGCAACTTCTTCCAAAACAACAGAATTGCACTGGGGAAACCTGGAATGTTCTTGTTGCTTAACGCTAAAGCATTACTGTTGAATGGGGCTTTTACCAGGTAAGCATAATTCCTATTATTTGAAAGGCAGATCTAAACTTCTTTACACTGCACTTCCTTTCATACAACGAGTTAAGCACTAGCACAAATTCTAGGGTTTCCACATGTAACAGGTGAGTACGTAGAGTCAGTAGATTTGTGACTGTGGATCAAACTACATAAGATGCAAAAGGTATTTTAAATGTTAAATAGAATCTGCTGGGAGCTCCAATGAGAATATGAACCGTGGTACATGGGGGTTAACTCTTTTCTTCCCCACTACATACTCAGTTGACATCCTGCCCAGCTACTGCTATCCAAGAAAGGAAGCTCCCATTGCTGCCAGCAGGATTTGTGTGTTTAGCATCATGGATAATTTGACCCACAACCACAAATCTTCTGACTATGAGCAATGGCCTGAATATGTTTTTTCTTTTGCATTTTGGAGTCATTAGCATTATGTGTTGTTTGGCCATACTATAACACCTACCTGGAGCTAAAGCCTTCCTAACAAAGCAGTAACTGTGCTCATAGGAGCCAAGTCCTAAAATATTTGAGGCACCACCCCAATTGATGGACACTGCCATTCAAATGGTGTGTGCGCACTGCATCATGTGGTCGATTATGCAGGACAAGGCTTATCTGGGCCCCCCAATATTTTAATCAAGTTGGCACCCCTGATTGTGCTGATTTATTGCTTGGGAAGAAAGAAGCAGTGTCAGGCAGGGAGACTCCTAGCTCCCCACTGACAGACTGGCTGATCACTGCTTATCTCCATTTTTAAACTTCTTTCACTATATGCTCACCTGGGATAGGCAAACTCAATGAATTCACAGCTTGCACATGTGTTTCTTCATTTAGCAAGGAAGCCCCATCCAGTTCCTGATCTAGCATGGAAGTGCTTGTTTTTAACCTTCAAAAACTAAAACAGAGAAAAGTTATGTGCTGCTTGGCAAGAAGAATAAAGCAAAATATGTCAAGCATTTGGCCTCTAGAATTAAATCACCCATCCCCCATTAATATTTATGCCTACAATAATATAATAAATTTTATTTATACCCCGCCCTCCCCGGCCAGAGCCGGGCTCAGGGCGGCTAACACCAATAAAATTTCAGTAAAAACATAATAAGAAAGAAAAAAAAAAACAATTTACAATACAGGTTAAAATGCAATTTAAAATGCAGCCTCATTTTAAAAGTCAAAACCATAAGGGGAGGGAAACATAAGGGTCAGACTGAATTCTAAGGCCAGGCGTAACAGCTCTGTCTTGAAGGCCCTGCGGAAAGATGTCAAGTCCCTGTGGGACAGAACGTTCCACCAGTACTGGGGCCAGTACTGAAAAGGAACTGGTCCTAGTTGAGACCAACCTAACCACCACCTAATCACAAGACTTGGGACCTCCAAAATATTGTCATTTGTGGACCTTAAGGTCCTCCGTGGGGCATACCAGGAGAGGCGGTCCCGTAGGTACGTGGGTCCTAGGCCGCATAGAGCTTTATAAAACCCTAGTGGATTAATTAAGTGCAAGTAAGGAGACAAATGATTTTAAACTGGTTTTTCTTTTAGATCTTGCCTAAAGAATTGGGCTACGAGATCCCAGTATCTTATTCCACATGTGGCATTTGCTTAGCAGCTTATGAAATAAACTTGTGCAAGGCAAATAGATCCTTAGTCGGATAATCTGGTTCGCGTGTGCAAGCTCTTCCTAATTCAAAAAGTAGAAGTTATATGTGCTCTGCTTACTCACATACAACTTGCTCTGGATGTCCATATCCTAATGGCCTTCAGGGTTCTTGTATTAATTTACAAGGCCCTTAACAACTTGGGTTCAGGATACCTTAAAGGACCACCTGACTCATTATAGCCCTCCTCTTTGTTGAGGGAGTCTCTGTTGGTGCACCATGGTTTGGATAAATAGCTTGCATCCGCCAGCAACCATGCATTGAGTATTGTGGGCTGAATTATATGGAACTTCCCTCCTGTTGAGGTCAGGCAGGCCACTACCCTGTTGATCTCCCAGAATCTACTGAAAGCTTGTTAAATTCAGCAAGCATTTAGACTGAATTCTGATGTCTTCGCTTCAACTGGTTTTCATTCTTATTGCATTGAATTACTTGTACATGGCTTAGAGATGACTGCAATTAAGCTGTATAAGAATTGGCGAAACAAGCAAGTTCTCTTCCCTTCAGGGATCCTGCCATCAGTGTTTATACAATACTTATTTTCTGTAATTTTGGCCACAGTGATCATTGTGCAACCAAGCCATCATCTGGAAAATCATGTATTTGTCCTCATCCATCAAGAAATACCCATATATATCACCCATCTGGAGACCTCCCTGTGCACAGATGCATGTGTCAGGGAATGGAAAGCCCTTCATCCAACCCAGGGGTGTGGAGTGGAAGATGCTCTTGCACCTCACCAGCACCACCAAAGAGATGATCCGCATTGCCTGGTCCAACAGTGCTGATTGCTTTTTGGTGAGGAAAGGCTCATTCTAGCAGTCAACTGCTATGTGTAAGCATCTGTGCAATGAGGCCCTCCAAACACAGATTCAATGTTTAACCTGCTTTTCATCTTAAAAGCCCTTTTCTACACTGTCCTACCAGTAAGGTCAAAATGCAATGTATTTTTTTTTAAAAAAATCACACAGAAGATATTTCCTATTTCTGGCTCATTTAAAATATTGATTTCCCCCCCATTTGTTGTAATTGGCTATCTTTTATTGTTTCTCCGGTATCTGCAGAAAATCCTGTAACACTGTTTACTAATAAAGAACTTTTGTATATTGAAAGCAAATAAAAACGCCAATATGTTTTTGCACAAAACACCAGGATACGTTCCATCTATGCAAGTCTGGTCTTCTATTGTTAATGGATTGCGTTAACGATGCTGCCCCCTGCCTCCAGTAAATGTATTCGTTTCAGTTCTATCAACATTATTTTATTGGACAATATCTAATGTGAAATACTTAGGATTTCAACACTTACTATAAGTAATGGGCTATATATGGGCAAAAAGACTGTGACTGAATTCTAGCAAGATGGAGATACTGTGTAGAGGCTGTTCTGGATGAGAATACACTCCACTTGAAGGAGCAGGTAACATAGTATGGGGGTATTGGGAGATTCACAGTTTTCACTTGAAACTAAGTGGTGTGATGAGTACCTTCTTTTTACTTTCAGCTGGTCTGCCCAGCTACAACTGTTTACTTATAAGGGCAGTGGTCCATGCTCTGGTAACCTCTCGTTCAGATTATTGTAATGCATCGTACATGGAGTTGCCCTTGAAGACAATTCAGAAGCTTTAATTGGTGCAGAATGCAGATGCCAGAATTCTGACTGGTAAAGCAAGGAGAGATCATGGTCACCCCAGATGGCCACTATTTTGTGGGAAGTATTCAACAACATGCCAGAAATTTAGTTTTGCACAATGGAAGTGCGCTAATGCACTCTTGTGCAACAAAAACCAACTTTTTTTAAAAAAAGGGAGGGCTTTGTGTTAGGAAGGTGATGAGGAAATAACCATAGATGGGCAGGAAGTCTTATAACCTCCACGCAAACAAATCAAGATAAATACTTGAGTCTCCTATAACCTCACAGCAGACAAGTCATAATGAATGCCCCTCATATAACCTCTGCAACTTTTGTGCAAGTGAATAAGCAAGTTGTCCAAAGAAGCCCTAAATTCCACCAGTCCTCAAGCAGCTGTGTTGGCTGCCTATTCACTTCTGAGCCCCATTCATCATGCTGGTTGCTCACCTTTGAATCCCTAAATGATTTGGGAACATGTCTCTTATATCAGTCTACCCTGTTTTTTAGATCAGAGGGAGGGGGCTTCTTCATGTTCCACTGCTAAGGGAGGCTTATTCAGTGGTGATACAGGAACGAGACTTCTTTGTGGCAATGTCACATTTGTGGAATGCTCTCCTCTTACAGGTGAGCATTGTTGTTGTTTAGTCGTTTAGTCATGTCCAACTCTTCATGACCCCATGGACCAGAGCACTCCAGGCACTCCTGTCTTTCACTGCCTCCTGCAGTTTGGTCAAACTCATGTTGTTGCTTCGAGAACACTGTCCAACCATCTTGTCCTCTGTCGTCCCCTTCTCCTTGTGCCCTCCATCTTTCCCAACATCAGGGTCTTTTCCAGGGAGTCTTCTCTTCTCATGAGGTGGCCAAAGTATTGGAGCCTCAGCTTCATGATCTGACCTTCCAATGAGCACTCAGGGCTGATTTCCTTCAGAACGGATAGGTTTGATCTTGCAGTCCATGGGACTCTCAAGAGTCTCCTCCAGCACCATAATTCAAATGCATCAATTCTCAAAAACTCCATGGACAAAGACAACAGGTGAGCATTAGGTACCACAATTGCTTTGGGTTTTTTTGGCAGCAGGAAAAGACATGTCTGCTTAATCAGGCTTCATAGGATTCTAACGAGAGACTGTTTTAGCCTTTTCTTTTAGCTGGGTTTTTTTTTAATTATTATTATTTTCTTGGTTTACAAAAGTACACGTCTTGTCTCTTTTTTCAAGTTGTACAGTCTTTTATACAGATCAGTTATATTTGTTATGAGACATTAGTGTGGAGTACAGTATGAAGTCAGGAAGAAGAGGGCAGGGAGAGGAGGTGTGGTGGTGAAATTTGTTTTTGTTTTTACAGTGTATGTGTGGGGTTTTGTGTCAGCGTCAACTAGATAGGTTCTCTTTCAATTCACTTGTCACATTTCCTTGGGAGTGAGAGAATTGAGGGCCCAGGGTATGGCTGGTTGCCTGTGGTTGGCTGCAATGGGGTTTGTTTGCATTTGTGGAGGGTGGGGGAAAAGGTTTGTTGGGTCAAGTAAGACAGATTGATTTGTAAACTGTTGGTGGATTCTTGTTGTTATCTTGTTGGACTGTGTATGTGATAAAGGGGAGCCATACTGGGGTGAAGGCGTTCTCTTCTATGTGTCCCCTCTTTAGCCATTTTTAATTTTGGTTGCTGATGTTTTAAGGCCAGTAATCAATCAATCAATCAATCAATTGCATTGATATTCCACCTTCTTCTCCGAAGGAGCTCAAGGTGGCTTACATGGTTCTTCCCCCTCCTTATTTAATCCTCACACCAACCCTGTGATGTAGGTTAAACTGAGAGGCAGTGACTGGCCCAAGTTCACAAAAGTGGAAATTTGAGCCCTGGCCGCCCAGATCCTAGCCCAATACATAAAAGAAACATTATTTTAGGTTTCACCTTGCCCTGGTATCGGTATTATTGAAGGGCATATGTCATATTCTGCACACACAGTCCTAAGTTAGCGCAGGATCCTGCCAAAAATAATTGTGCAGTTATGTATGACCATCCAGAGGCACATGCATCATTTTTACACATTGCATTATTATTTTTTCTTAGTTTCCCTTCTGGCAACTCCCTCCATCCCAAAACTAATATTAAAACTTGCCAATGTGTCAAATGTAGCTTAGAATTCAGCACTAGAACTGCCAGAAGGAGGGGTGGGAATCCAGTCCATATGAGCAATTGCTTGCATGAATTCTTACACAGCCTTCCTGAAACAAGATATTTGCCCTGATCCACAGGCCTGGTTGTAGCAGCATCTAGGGTCTAAATCAGGGGTCAGAAACCTTTTTCAGCCATGGGCCAGTCCACCATCCCTCAGACTATATATATTCTTTTTGGGTGGGGGAAATGAACAAATTCCTATGCCCCACAAATAACCCAGAGATGCATTTTAAATAAAAGCACACATTCTACTCATGTAAAAACACACTGATTCCCGGACTGTCCGCGGGCTGGATTTAGAAGGCGATTGGGCCACATCTGGCCCCTGGGCCTTAGGTTGCATACCCCTGGTCTAAATCCTGAGCTGGTGCCTGGACCCACCAACTCCACCTGCTTCATTGGTGGTCACCTTCATTATATTTCTGAAAAAAGGGGGAAGAGGTGAAGGATCTGGACCAAGGTAGAAAGGTTAATGTTGGAGCTGGACATCTGTTATGAACTGCCAATGAACTGATGAGTGCTTGATTTATCAGCTAGATGCTCAAGTAGTTTGGCAGCAATCTCCATCCTATAAGGACAGCTGCTTTTCAGTCACAACAGTCAGCTGGCTATATGGGAACACAAGAAGCTGCCAACTCAGACCATTGATCTATCTAGCTTAGTCTGGTCTAAGTTGGTTGGCACTGACTCTCCAGGGTTTCAAGGCAGGAATCTTTCCTAGCCCTGCCTGGCAACACCAGGGATTAAACCTGGGAGCTTTTGTGAGCAAAGCATTGGCTCTGTCACTGTGCTACAGCTGTGTAATGGTGCTGTAAAGAAACTTGGTGTTTAGGGCGCAGAACAAGATTTGTAACATACACAAACATAGTCTGGCCCTGGGGATTACATTTTCATTTGATTTGGAACTGTTTGTAAAATAACACAGGTTTGCAGCTCAGCTCACAAAAGTGCAATTGCTTTCAGCAATGGATGGAGACTTTTGTGCAAGATTAGTCTGGAAGATCAATTGTACTCTTGTTGTACTGTTGGGGGGCAGGGGTCATCTTCTATACAGATGAATCTTTTCATTATTAAATACCAGTCCAAATCCTTCTAAACAGAAAGAAAAAGCAGGAAGGGATTTTGTTCCGGATACTAAATTATGCTACTGTCCTACAGCTAGATATGCAAAAGTGCAGTGGCATCCAGAATGGCTTGCCAACGTGAGATAGCAACATCCACTGTGGCAAGGATGCTCAGGTCACTTCTGATATATTGTCTTGAAATGGCTGGATGCAGAGGGATGGAGGGAGCCAGGGGATTGGTGGTGGGATGATGATGAATGGTCAGAGGGAGAAGATTGGGAAAAGGAGGTGTCAGAAACTAAAGAGGTAACAGGGCTTAGTGAGCATGAAGAGGTTGTGGCAGAGAGCAGTCCAGAACCAGAGGCATAAGAGGAGGCTGGAGAGAAGGGGGACCAAGAGGCAGAGATGAGGCAGGCTGCTGAAGAAGCCAGGGGGTTTCCCTCTCCTGCTGCGACAAGCTTCATTCAGAAGATCTGCTGTTTTGATTTTAAATTGTATTTTTATTGCTTCTTTTATTTCTTATATTGTACTTTATTTTATTACAATACAATGCATACAATAGAAGAGATAAAAGAAGCAATAAAAATACAATTAAAAGCCACACAGCATCTAGCACAGTGTATCGCCATGGGTAAAATAAGCAGAAAAATCATTAAGTGGTTCCCCAAGCCCTCAGCAATTTTCAAGTGTTCCTTGGAAGACACAGTCTGAGAACCCCTGAGTTAGGTAGGTATGTTTTTCAGAGACGTGCAGAAGCCAGCAGACAACTGTATCTGACCCAAAGTTCATAAAAGGCGAAGCAAGGTAATTTCAGCGTGAAATTTACAAAATTTAAATCCATCTCTCGCTTGAGTCATCATTGGTAAGCAAAGCCATGCACAAGGCAGTTCTTTTAGGCCTGGCCAGTGAGAACATTAACCCTTTTGTTCTTTTAAAAGCCCAAAACAATGCAGATAAATGCACAAGCTGCTTACTCAGACCCACAGGGAAGTAGAGATAAGTGCTTTTTAAAAGTGAAAAGCACCGTTAGATATACAAAGTTCTGTGTGGCCAATGTCTCCAGATGGGGACTATCGAATTACAAAACTGAGAAACAGCCTGAACCTGTGACAATTATAATCTATGGTGTGTTGACTCTTGCAATTTATGACAGATGGAGGGTGGCAATGGCCACACCGTGTGTCAGTGATTGGTCTGCTGTAAAACGCGTTTTATTATTCCATAGATTTCCTTTAGTGTGAAGAAAGTGGATAAGTAAAGAGAGGAAGAGAGAGTACAACACTCCAGGGAAGTATGGGTTGATTGGGTAGGTTGGGTGATGACTCTCTAAAATTTACAGTCTAAATGGAAGGGCAATTGCATTAGATTGGGTTTTATATCATCTCTCTGTTGCTTTTTTAAAAAGGCTACTTATTTTCCATGACTCAGTCAATACTATTGAATGAAAGAAAGCAGAACATTCTCATATACCTAGTTAGCATAAAAGGGTATGACAGTAATGTTGCTATAAGAAAGAAAGATTGCCCGTTCCAAAGGAACTCTAAAAATAAAATGGACCAACAGAATACAGTATGTGTCACTGGGTGCCCTTTTAATTTTGTCATTTAGCCTAGTGAAGAAGACAGAGAGGGAGGGGGAAAGAGTGCCACTGGCCTACTTTCAAATAATCTACTATAAAGTGCTGAAAATTATTTATTAGAGTTTTTTAAGAAGAATTCACATGGACTGAATTTTCCTTTATAACTCAGGGGATAACTTAACTTTTGCTACTTATATCCCGAAATAAATGACATAATAAAGCATTTCAGTGCCCTTTGTTCAAAGGAGATTCCAAACTTTCTCACACCTCTTTAATGAACATTATAACAAATCCAAAGACAAAATCCATATACTTCCACGATCTGCATTCATGCACACTACACTCCCAATCCCATTTTATCAGCATCTCAGTTCATCAAGAGTCGGGTGCAGATGAAAGCAGGCACCTGTACAATAATCCCCTGCTTGGGTCCAAAAGTGCACCCACAGACATGGTTCCTGTGTTCAGTTACCCCATCCAACACTTCATGTATGACTCTCATCGCTAGATCAGGAGTCAAAATCACATGTAGCCCCCAAGCTGGTTTCAGATTTTCAAGACACATTTCTCCTCTAACATGATTGAGCCATGCTAGTCAATGACTTGGTTGGACACGAGTGATTCAAATATCTTGTGCAATTGAAAGACACCCAGTATACTATGTAACAAGGTGCTAATAAACTGGTAGGAATGGAATATAAAAGACCCAAATACAGTTTGGGAAGCACATTCGCGAGAAGTTAGTAATGGCTGTGACGGGTAAGTGTTTGACATTGAGAATGGTTTCAGATATCATCAAAGAAAAGTCAATGAAACCAGTTCATCTTGGTACCAAATCAGCCACTAAATCAGAGGGGAATTCCTGCAGATGCTATTGAACAATTCCCATCACCCCTGGCCATTTGCCATGCTGGTTGGGACTGATTGGAGTTGGAGTCCAATAACCTCTAGAGGGCCACAAGGTTCCCCAGTCAAGCACCAGTTCTTCACTGTGTTCATATTGATGTTTGATTTGAAAACCCATGATGTCCCATTACAGCAATTGGCAACATAATTTCCTACCCCATGTTAAGTCAGTGTGCGAGGGATTCACCATTGTGCTATTATGATCGTTCCATCAGTGCAAGCATTCTCAGATTGAATGACTGTCCCTCTCCTTCCTCTGTGTGCTGTTCTGAGGGTTCTCCCAGCTCCCAGAGCCCATTTGGTGGAGGCATAGGGGGGAGGACAAGGGGAAAGTTCCATTGCTAGCGGGATTTGTTGTGCTGGCTCCTGCTAGCACAATTGTTGAACTGAATTCAAGCCTCTATATATTTGTGTTTGGTTTCTTTATTTTCATACACACCTAAATTCTTTAGAAAAGTGATTTAACTTTGCCTACCCAACAGTACTTTGGACTGGGGGGCGGGCAGCAGCCTGATCATGCTGTGTAACAAACACTTTTTGAAACTCAGTGTATTACAAAGGCAGTTTGCTATGCAGCATGGCAGAACTAAAGCCTGCAATCCTATGCTCATTTACCTGGGAGTAAGTCTCATTGAAATCAATGGGCATTACTTCCAGGTAGGTAAGTCTAGGATTCCACTTTCTAGGAGATCTCTGGGTTTTTGTTTAAGACCAATTACTGAGTGTTTGAAAGTCACACACACGCCCGGTGCCAACCTGAAAACGTCACACAATGCATCATTCAAAGGGCGGAACTGGGGTGAAATGGGAGCGGGGCTGGAAATGGAACCCCCCACATGAAATGGCCGGCAACTGTGCTGTAATACTGCCTACGGGATAGCCATATGTAGCTGTACTACATGTAGATATTAGATGTACAATTCAGACAAATACATATAGGGTAAGGTAAAGATAAAGGGACCCCTGACCATATAGGGTACTTGATATGTATTATATATGCCTGGCCGTGTCCTTGGTTTCTTTATTTAAGGCACATATGCTTCAGTAAATAATCCTCCCACATAAATTCAGAGCAGGTAAAAAAACAGGTAAATTTCTTAAAGGGCAAATTCACTTACTTGGCTGCATGGATGAGCACACTAGGAAGATGAGCTGAACAGGAGGTAGATGTGATTAGCAAATCTCCTGGAGTGGAAAAGGTAAGGTGATTCACTGCATGGCCTCATCTACTGCCATAATTAAAGAAAACAAGGTGCTGCCTCGTTGAAGTGCAGAAACCCTGGGAAAAAGAAGACGCCGCAAACTGAACAGAATATAACTTTTTGAAAGAAAGTGCATCGCTCATGCATTTTCTAAGGAAATTGATTTTTCAACTTCTTCAGTTAAACTCTGAATTCATGAATAAGGTATAACAGACCACCTGCAGAGAGAATCATAAATGGAAAAAGGAACAGATAAGCTGGCCATTGGGCTCCAAATCTCTGAAATGGGGACAGAGATTGAAAGGCGAGTTCTGAGGTGAAAGCTAAGCAACAGTAGATCTCTCTCCTTTTTTTAATGATATTTATTAAGAATTTTAAAATTACAGAAAGAACAAAGAGAAAAAGAAGAAAAAAAGGGGGAAAACAAACAGCAATCAAACAATACAAATCGATAAAAATCAAAATCAAAAAACAAAAACAAAACACATAACGCATCAAAATCAAAATCAAAAAACAGAAATAAACCACAAAAATTTAAAAACAGATCCAATATTCCCAAATCCTTAACTGTCATTACCTTATTTCATCAACCTCCTCACACCTCCCTTTTTTGTATTCTAGTTATTAATTATCACAGCAAATCCTTCCCATTTTTCATAATATTCTGTCATTAAATTACCTTAATCTATTTTAACCTTATCTTACTATAAAAAACCCTAAAACTTAAAACTTAAATCTTATTTATACCAATTTCTCATAACCATAGCATATTCTTGCATAGTTCTTTTTAGCATTTCTGCTAAAGCCAAATAATTTCGTTCCAACATTTTTCTAATACTCATTAATTTTACAAAACAATCATAAATAAAAAATTTTAAAACTTTCTTCCAATCTTCATCCAACGTCTCTTCCTCCTGGTCCCGGGTTTTGTCAGTCCTTTCTATCCCATCCATCTAGTTCATTAACCTGGTAATCTTATGTCCGAGGCCCTTAAGTCTCTTCCATGTCCCTTCCGCAGATCTTCTTCATATTTATACCTGTACTTTACTTTGTCTCCTGGTCCTTTCACTCGTGGAAACTCCAACTTGACAGTATTTTTGTCCCTTCTCGACAGATCAGCCCCTTTTCCATAGTCCACACTGAACTCCATGTGGTATTTAAAAGCATGTTTCAAAGTCCCTCCAGAGTTGAGGACCCCCACAACCCCAAACTCCTCACGGCCCATTGCCAAACTTGAAAAGTCAAGACATCCCTGCATAGGGGGGTCTATCCAGCCCCCCATCTCCAAGCCAAACAAAACTCTATCTCTCCAAATCTGTTTTTTTCCAAGTTCATTTGTCAGATTCAACAACTCATGTTCCTGCTGGGCCACAGCTCCCTCCACCTCTGCCACCCGAGGTCCAGCAACAACCTCCTCCCTCATCTGATCTGTCAGAGCACACTCCTGAGTTGATTCCTGGGTGGGTTCTATATAGATACCCACTACCTGTCCAAAATTTCTAATCGCAACAGTCATCAAATCCATCTGGCAAGCAACCAGATTTCCTTCCAGCCTTGGAGCTACAGAAGTGGGTGGAAATTGGTCCTGGGAGTCAGTTCATCAAGCTATCCCCAGTCCCAATATTGGAAATAAGGCTGGAGGGGGGGATTGGCACCTGCTTTAATAAGACAATCAGAGTGGCTTGGTAGCACAGGGCCAAACTGTTAAGCCCAGTGCTATTTTTCTAGAAAAAGAAGTGCCGGAACTCACCATGAACACCTCCCTTGTTCTCTTAGAATGGCAATGGTGCCACCTGAAAGGTGCCAGAACTGAGTTCCGGCAAGTTCCGGCTGAAAAAAGTCCAAGTTAGGGCCACCCTTTCTTGCTTTCACAACCTATCATTTAAAAAAATAATAATAATAAATCCAAAGTTTGATTTATACATTATTGACCTAACATAAGGAAAAGAAGAAACGTTCAATAAAACATCATAATAAAACGCACCACGAGCTTCTAAGCTATTTTATTCAAGTGCCTCATGAGAAGAAGCGGCTGGGCGGTAAACATGGTTGTCTGGAGTTAATTCAAGCAGGTGCCTCCTTCAGCCTGTAAATATAAACTTAATTAAAGGACTAAACGATTCAGAAAGAGTACGGGTGGGCGGCTTTCAACAAAATGCAAGCTGGAAAAGCAACTTTGTGGGGGAAATGAGAAAGAGGGAATTGAGTGTTTGTCTCAAGTAAAAAAGGGGGGGAGGGGAAGAATGTTTGAGGCCTGATGAATGGCATAAAAAGCACACCGAACAGATGAAAGGCTTTGAAAGCTAGAAAGTATATCCATAGCTACCGGCACATTTTAATCCAAGCTGAAATATGCGGTGGAAAAAAGCAGGTGGTAGAAGCCTTCGTTTTAAATAGGATGTGGATTTCTATTATACATGCCTTGTGGCCTAAACCAATGTTGCTCCAAAGCAACCACCAATGTAGTAATTGTTCTGCCATAGATTCTTCTTTCTAAACACTGCTTTCTTTAATATGCAGCTGAATGCCAAGTTACACTGGGCATAAATTATGGAGAGGGGCAGAAAAGCATATTCATAGAACTAAATCAAATTTAACCCATAATCAGAGCACTTTTTCAAAATGCCAGGGGGTACTTTTTCAAAATTGTTAAAGCACCCTAGAATACGGCACGAAAGCCAGGGGCTTAAAGCTGCGCAAATGGGCAGCGTGTCAAACTATTTAACTTTTTTGCTTGTTTAGGAGGATCAGAGATGACGGAAATTATTCTAGTTCAGTCTTTAAAAAAAGGTTAAGTATACTTGTAGCTTGAGGGGGGAAATGAAACATCATTTATATGTTCTTGGTCTGTGTGTCTTAAGTGATAAGGTCATTCATACCATTGGGTTGCAATACAACTACGGTGATCGTGTGTCGTGCCCTGGAGGTAGTCCTTCGTCCTCTATTATTTGAAAGGCCGTCTGATCCAAGCCCATTTTCAAGATAAAGAAGCATCATGCAGGAGAGCAGAGGGCGCCTTGAAGCTGCCCATCAACAGCTGGCAGCACCCGGGTTATCTGAATAATAATAATAATAATAATAATAATAATAATAAATTTTATTTATATCCCGCCCTCCCCAGCCGAAGCCGGGCTCAGGGCGGCTAACAACAATCAAATAATCAAACAATCAAATAATCCAACATTCTAAAAACATTTCATTATAAAAATTAATTAAAATAAAATTAATGGCAACCGTTGAGCAAAATTCTGTGCAGGTTGCCAGAGGAGGGAGTCAGGCTGGGCCCTGACCAAAGGCCTGGTGGAACAACTCTGTCTTGCAGGCCTTGCGGAAAGATGTCAGGTCCCGCAGGGCCCTAGTCTCTTGTGACAGAGCGTTCCACCAGATTGGAGCCGCAGCCGAGAAAGCCCTGGCTCTAGTTGAGGCCAGCCTAACCTCTCTGAGGCCTGGGACCTTCAGGATGTTTTTATTTGCAGACCGTAGGTTCCTCTGTGGGGCATACCAGGAGAGGTGGTCCCATAGGTACGAGGGTCCTAGGCCGTATAGGGCTTTAAAGGTTAAAACCAGCACCTTAAACCTGATCCTGTACTCCACCGGGAGCCAGTGAAAACAAAACAAAGCCACGGTCATATTTAATTAATATTTCAAAGATCTCTAAGTGGCTTGGAAAGGAACTTTGTCTCAAAACAGACCTCACTGAAATTAAGGGACTTAAATTAGTTGTGGCTATTCATTTCAATGGGTTTCCTCTGAGTAAATGTTAGCTGGCTATACAATCCTTACAAATATATTGTTTTTTGTGGGTATGTGGGTGCCATGGGTCCCTAAATTCCTGGGTCCTCTTGGTAGTTCTCTGCCCTCAGAAGCTGGGTGGGGAAGAGGGCATTCTCTATGGTAGCACCCTAAATTGTACAACTCCCTCCCAAAATGCATCTGGCACCTTCATTATACAGCAAATGTTGACGATGCACCTCTTTACCCTGGCTTTTGGCACTTGAGGTGTACAGTTTTAGGACCCACCTCATTTCTATTATTGTTTTTAAGCTGTTTATAATATTGTGTTTCAGTGTTGTCACCTGCTCTGGGACCTTAAGGTGAAGGATGGGTAATTAACAGTAGCAGTCTTCATGGACTCAAATCCATTTCACAGGATTTAATTTAAATACGTACCTGCCAAGTGAAAGCTTAGTTGACAGGCAAGCCGTTAGGTTATAATTACTATAATTATAATTTGCTATATCTAAATTAGCATTTTTCTGTGTCCCATTTTATCTGTCTTTTGGACGATGATGGATAGGTGACCAAAGAAGTCTACAACCTGCACGCGAAGTTGTGGGAAGGGAAACAGACAGAGAATGCAGTATGCTCATCAGTAGTATTACCATCTTTTGAGACTAAAAGGTGCAACAAGGTGTTAAGAAATATCGTGTTGATGGTAAAAGAAAGCCACTACCCCAGGAATCCCCAACCTTCGGCCCTCAAGATGTTTTGGACTACAATTCCCATCATGCCTGACCACTGGTCCTGTTAGCTAGGGATCATGGGAATTGTAGGCCAAAACATCTGGAGGGCCGCAGGTTGGGGATGCCTGCACTACCCTCTCGCTCACTCCCAAACTGCCCTTTTGACGTCAGATTCTTTCCCCTCACCCTCACATCCTGGAACACAGAAAGCTGTCTTATACTGAGCCAGACCACTGGACTATCTATATCAGTATTCTCTAAATGGACCGGTAGCAGCTCTCCAGGATTTCAGACACAGGTCTCTCCCAGTCCTGTTGGGAGATGCCTGGGATTGACCCTGAGGCCTTCTGCATGCAAAGGAGATTATCTACAGCTGTGGTTCCCAACATGGGGCACACGCCCCACAAGGGGGCAATTTGATTTTTTTTGGGGGGGGGGATTCGAGAATGAGTTATTAACAGTGAATGGCCTTTTAGGCTTCCTCCACGTGAAGAGGAGTTCAGTTTTTGAATAATAAGAATTATACGTCACAGGCAGAGAGGGTATCAGGGTTTTAGAGATGCTAAAGTAGGGCATGGCCAAAAAAAGGTTGGGAACCACTGATCTACAGCCTCTCAGAACCTAAACATTGGAAATCTGTTCAGTACTGTCTGGGACTTAGCAGGCCCGATGCATTTCATTAAGCAAATCTCCACTCCACAAATCGTGTCCTCCCTAAAAGAGGGCATGTGTTACAGTGAGACCTGGAGACTGACCTCCTGTCTTGTGGGTGGGTAAATTGGACAGCCACAACACCCGATTGGTAGGTCCCTCGATGTTGGGTTTAATCTGGCCAATGGGGCACAGTCCAAACGGATCGAGGGACCTATATATACCTACGCACGTGACCCAGAGCTTCCTCTTTCAGCTCGTGCATTCAGAACACCTGCCCACCTCTCCCTATTTTTAGGGCATTTTGCGATTGACCTTGCTATGCCGTCATGTGTCGTCTGTCGTTGGGACGGGCACGGGAGGAATTTTCCCCACTTGGCTGATTGGCTGTTGCCATTTGGGTTTCGCCTCCTGTGTAACCTTGTAAGGTTACAGATAGGCTCTGGTTCATGTGATAGGGATGGGAGAACACTCTCGCCATCCCTATGTGAATGGTATTCCATTAAAGGAATCCAGGGACTCAACTGGTTTGGTCAACCCCTGAGAGGGGGTTGTGCCCATGCCTGATTCCAAGGGGGCATTTGGGTGGTGGAGTTAGCCCGCTCCCGGCTTTCCGCTTATCCAGGTGTTCACCCTTGGCTGACCTATGCTGATGCCCTGGGTCAGTGCTGCCTGCAAGGGTGCAGGGAGCTAGTGGAACCAGAGCCTATGCAACCACTCACTTTTCTGTAATCAATAAAGTTGTGGCCTAAATTCTTCCAAAAAACCCAAAACTAAAATTTGAGTCAAATGTATCTTTATTTAGGGGGGAGGTCTCTGGGTCTGAACACACAAATAGGTGAAACACATAACCATTTATTCCATTGCTGAAGCACTCGAATTTCCCTGCATAGCACACCTAGAAGTTTTTGCACTTGCTCAACTGACCCTACATAAATCACTCCCACCCTTGTTGTAGATAGATATAGATTAGATATAGATATATAGATACACAAACACACAGTGCCATTTTTCTAGAAAAAGAGGTGCCGGAACTCACCATGAACACCTCCCTTGTTCTCTTATGATGGCAATGGCGCCTACCTGAGAGGTGCCAAAACTTAATTCTGGTGAGTTCCAGCTGAAAAAAAGCTGTGTGCATGTGAACTGGTATTTCTTTCTTGCTGTGCCTTTCTATCTAAATCTACCTATTTCCATCTAAATATTTCTTTTCTTTTCTTTCAGCTGACTAATTCAAAACCAGTAACCTGAAAAAAGTTTTGGGGGCAATGGGGGAGGGAGCTTTACACCAACCGAGGTTTAACTCAGACTTCTAAGTAATGGCTTTGTTTCTTTTCGGGTTGGAATAACATGAAACATTCAGGTTTCATATGACTCCTAGGTTTTTAAATATATAAACTGCCCTCACAGAATTTACAAGGGCCTTGTTTACAACTTGCCTCCCTGTGGCCTGGCCAGACCAGGGCTTGCCTCACGTTGTCTACCAAATAACACCACAACAAACCCCAAAATGGGAAGTGTGAGGGGATTCAAAACAATGAGGAACCACAAATATAAATCATCTGCTTGAATTTCTGAAGTTAGCTTGGACTGTGATAGGAAACATTTACAAACCACCTTCCTTGTTTAATTATTTTATTATTCTAGTCAAAACATCTACCACTTGTTTACTGCCCTCTAGAATAGGTTCTTATCATGTTCTTTGTACTTTTTTGTTACTAGTTTTGTTCTGTGTGGTAAATCATTTTCATATTTTTTTTAAACAAAAACAACATGTCAGACAAACTACTACCACTTATTCACAGTGGGAGACTAGAAGCAGCAACGATTTCAAACCCAGCAGAGCATTAAAGCAATCATCCTGGATTTTGGAGATGTTCATGACGTCAATTATCCAAACTATTTTGTTTACTCTATCCGAAAGGCCACTCTAGCAGTTAGTGTTCCAAAGACTGCCAGTGAGGTACTGTCCTAAGCATGAGAATACTGTTACGTTTCCACTTTGCTTCCAAACACCTCAGTAAGTGTGCTCAAGTCGTATTGTCCAAAGCATACATTACTGTGTGCTAGACGAGACCAATAACGCAGGTGTGCATTCCATTGATTTCAACATAGTTTTCCTCCAAGTCATTGCACTTCGGATTTTGGCCTCATCTTTTATAGATCCCTTGCAGCCTTATATAGTAAATCTGACAGAACAAGATTGCAGAAAGGTTAACGACAGGGTTACTTGGCTTTCCTCTGAAGAAGCAATCCAGCATCTTTATTCAGTTATAGTACTACAAAGCCTTTCGACTGAAAGAGGATTATGCACAAATGTTCACTTTCACCTGGCTTTTGTATGACTCCCTATCCCCTGGAACCTTG